CACTTCAAGGTAAAAATGTATCCCAATCTCTGTAGCTAAAAAATTATCTCAATATCCGTCTGCCCTGAATGGGGCCTCCTGCTTTCCCTGTACTAGCTAATGTCCACCTTCCACTTGCTTTTTCAGGTTAGAAACTGGAGAGGCATCCTTGGTTCCTCCTTCCTCCCCCATATCCTGTGTCCCATTAATCACCAAACTTTGTCAATGCAACCTCCTAGGATGACTGAAACCCACCCCTCTTCTCTCCCAAGACCCTACATGAAAATCTCGAACGGGAACCACTAGAATAACCCCTATGTTTTGGATTTGTAAATGTAAAGAAGACATATTCAAAATATCGAAAAGGAAATACAATGAGGATGCACTCCCCTCCATATCTGCTCCAGCTTGTGCTGTTTTTCCAAAGACAGTCTATGGGTGTAGAAATGGCTAATTGTAGGATGGGGGTAGGAAACACACAAGTTGACTCTGGAACACTCGTCATGCCAGCAAGTAAGGAGGTGCTCAAAATATGCACCCCAACCCCTCACAGATAGAGGTATGTTAAAGCAGCATAGGAGCCTGCTGAGAGAGTTCCCAATGGCCAAAACTGAAACGATTTAGCAACAAAAGAAATGAAGTGGTGGGGCACTGTGACTTATGCCTGTTACCCCAATATTTCGGGAGGCTGAGGTGGGAGAACGGCTTGAGCCCGGGAGTTTGAGAGCAGCCTGGACAACACAGCGGGGCCTAGTTTCTTCATAAAAGGAAAAAAAAGTTGTTGCTGGGTGTGGTGTTGCATGACTGTAGTCCCAGCTATTCAGGGGGCTGAGGAGGGAGGATCCCTTGTGCCCAGGAGTTCAATGCTGCAGTGGTGCAGTGAGCTATGATCACACCAGTGCACTCCAGCCTAGGAGAAAGCAAGAGTGTCTCAAACAAACAAACCAAAAAAAAGAAATGAAGTAGTATTGGTTTATAGTCCAAAGTGAAAAATAAGTATCTTTGAGTCCATGGTAGTATAATGAGTGAACAAATAAATGGGAGAAGAGACATATCTCCCATGCAGAAGAAGTCCAAATAATTTATGTAGATACTCTGTTCCCAAAGAGGGGCAGCATAATTCCCTACCCCTTTGGCGTGGGCTAAGCATAGTGACTTCTTTCCAAAGTACACAGTGTGGAGAGGAGGAAATAAAGAGTAACTTACAGTGGAGAGTGGAGAAACTGACAAACACTACCTCAGTCAAGTAATCAAGGCCAATATTAACTGTCATAAATCATGTTGGTAGCATATACCCTTGATAGGATGTGATGAAAATGCACTTTACTTCTGTGATCTTCCTTCCCCAAACCCATAACCTCAGTGTAATCATGAAAAAAAAATTAAACAAATTCTAATAATGGGGCATTTTACAAAATACCTAACTGAAACTCCTCAAGATTACCAAAAAAACAAAGAAAATCTGAGACACCGCCACAGCTAAGAGAAGCCTGAAGAACATGACAACTAAGGCTAATGTCCCAGAACCAGAAAAGCCCATTAGGTAAAAAACTAAGGACATTTAAAAACTGTGGACTTTAGCTAACAGTAATAATGCATCAGTATTGGTTCATTCATTGTAACTAATATATCATACTGATATAAGATGTTAATAATAGGGTAAACTGAGTGCAGGTTATATGGGAACTCTTGTACTACCTTCTCAATTTTTCTTTAAGAAAAATCTCATTACACTACTATGGCATGATAGCTCACACCTATAATCTCAGCACTTTGAGAGGCCAAGGCGGGTGGATTGCTTGAGCTCATGAATTCCAGACCAGCCTGGGCAACATGGTAAAACCCCAGCTCTAGCACAAATACAAAAATTAGACAGGTGTGGTGGCGTGTAACTGTAGTCCCAGCTACTTGGGAGGCTGAGGTAGGAGGATGGCTTAAGTCTGCGGGTCAGAGGTTACAGTGAGCCAAGATTGTGCCACTGCACTCCGGCCTGGGCAACAGAGCCAGAAAAAAATAAAAAAGGCCTAAAAGAGAATAAATAATATCTTTATGTCTTTAATTTCGCTACGTCTTCTACTGCTAACCTAACTCTGAGTCCCTGCTGTTTCAGAACTTGGGCCTTTGTCCCTACAAAACTTTAGGTGGGTACAAGGAGAGAAACCTTAGAGAACAAACCACAGTGTGAACATAAAGAGTTCTTACATTAACAGAGTGTTAAATGCCACCACAGGTGTAAAGCTCACACTAGTCTTGACACGGACTCCATCACTTCAGAACTGCTCCCAGGTATGATATCTGAAGGTAAACACATCTACCATGATAGCACAGAGAGCAGAATGCTACACAGGGCCATTTGTAGCCCTCTCCACCACCTGTGCTCCCTTCCTCCCAACAGGAGAGCTGGATGCTGGAAGTAAAGACTGCCCAGAATAGAAGTCAAACTACCAAGAAAAGCCAGTCTTCTCCAACTTCCAAAATTCACAATGGTATCAAGGCCTATCTCCCACTCCCTCCAATCTGGTCAGTCCCAGTTCCTCTCATGGACTGTGAGAAAGCATTCAGATCTGGCTGAATCTTTACTTGTAATCTGACTTTCTACTTTAAATTGAACCTGGCTTCCCAACTTTGCTGTTTCTAAAAGAGCAAGGAAAAGTAGTTTCAGGAGAAATTTAGAATCTGAATAGAAAACAAGTAAGATTTCAACCTGTACAACATGAGCCATTTATATGAACTACATTATAAACTGAAAGTTACCTAGGAAAATCCAAACATCCTCCTAACAATGTTTGTTATTAGTTCTCTCAAATTCCCTGAATCTTTTTTCCACAACAAAAAAGGGCATAAACAAATAAATAAGGTTACAGCTGTATAGAAACTGTGATGCTGGTTTTCAGAACGGGCCTCAGTAGAATGGTTCTCATATTTCTTTCTTTCTTTTTTCCTTTTTTAAGATGGAGTTTTGCTCTTATTGCCCAGGCTAGAGTACAATGGCATGATCTTGGCTCACTGCAACCTCTGCCTCCCAGGCTCAAGTGATTCTCCTGCCTCAGCCTCCCTACTAGCTGGGATTACAAGCATGCGCCACCACACCTGGCTAATTTTGTATTTTTAGTAGAGACGGGGTTTCTCCATATTGGTCAGGCTGGTCTCGAACTCCCGATCTCAGGTGATCTGCCTGCCTCGGCCTCCCAAAGTGCTGGGATTACAGATGTGAGCCACTGCGCTTGGCCTGTTTTTCATCTTTCTTTCTTTCACAGAGAGCTAAAGAGCTCTTGCCACACAGAGGCAAATATGTTAAACTCCGGCACCCACTAAGGCAGCCATCTTCACTAAGAGTGACCTTGGTTCTAGGGCTGTGCTTCCACTCTGCAGCTAATGCTGAAGCCCACACCTTGACTAGAAAGTCAACCATAACAAAGCCCTACTGCCGGTCCTGCTGGGGGCTAGGTTGCGGGTGGTTCCAAAGGCAGGAGCCCAGCCTTGAAACACTAAGCTCTGTAACACATGCTCAATGTCCTTGAGTAACTGACACAACTCACTTATCTGACAGTGTCCCACAAAAACTGGAGGAGTTATCTTGAGCACTGTTAAACAGAAACAAAACTAAACCAGTTCACTTAGAGTTTCATATGTTGTCCTTTACCTTCTCAGATTTTATGTTGTACAAGGGGTCTATAAGTAAAAATGATACAGTTCTGATCGATGAGTCTCTCTGTTTTTTTTGAGATGAAGTCTTTGTCGCCCAGCCTGGAGTACAGTTGCGCAATCTCGGATCACTGCAACCTCAGCTTCCTGGGTACAAGTGATTCTCATGCCTCAGCCTCATGAGTAGCTGGGACTACAGGTAAGTGTTACCACACCTGGCTAATTTTTTTTTTTTTTTTAGTAGAGATGGGCTTTCACCATGTTGGTCAGACTGGTCTCAAACTCCTGACCTCAAGTGATCTGCTCACCTTGGCCTCCCAAAGTGCTCAGATTACAGGCATTAGCCACTGTGCTGGGCCTGATCTATGAGAGTTTCTGACCTAAGGTTCCCAGCCCAACTTTACAGAAAAGATTATAAACACCAAAACACATCAATTTTAGCCACAAATAAAATGCTATATACTTTACATTACGTAACATATGTAAAACAAACCAGGGACTCAGTAACAAATCACTTTTCATTTAGTAACGCAAGAGCAGAGTTGCACAGAGTGGGATAAAAGGCTATGAGACTACACGGGAGCACAGGGACCTTTGAATAGTGTCTAAGGGGAGGGGCTGGACAGAGAAATGAGTGAAAGGCCAAGAAGAACAGCATGTGAGGCCTGGATCCAGTCTGAGCACTGGCTAGCTGGCCCATTTGTCAAAGGTGTCATGTATCACAAGAGCACAGTGCTCCTAGTCTCCTGGAAGGTACGGGCTTGCCTGTATGATGTGTATGGATCAGGCAGAGCACCACACACTTCCAAGTCTTTGAATTTCACTCACTAATCACCCTTCTCAGATTTGTCAAGAAGTCAAAACTCAAAAGCAGTCATATACAAAAGGTAAAACCAAGAGATCTTATAAGCAGCAATAGAAAAGTTTAGGCCATGAAGCTAGAAGAGAAGGCTACCCAATAAAATCTAGATCAGCATGTCTCTAGAAGAGAAGAAAAGAAACAGTGACCAGGTCAGCTGGCCAGCCCTCCCACTGTCACAGACAGATTTACTTCCACAAACTCTTCTCTTCCTCTGATTTTATACTCAGTAGTCGAGCAAGCACATTACTAGTACAAATGGCTCAAGGAAGCACTCTGGAAAGCAACTTCTTAACAAACATTAGTCTCATGAATTCGAGTGTTAGAAAAAAACAGCTTATGTTGCACAATCATTTACAGATGCTGTACATTAAAGTTTCAGATCTTTAGATATGTCAGACTATCTTAGGAAGGAAAAAGAACAGGAGGAGGGTTATCTACCTGTCTTCTACTTTCCCAACTGCCCACCATTGTGATAGGTCACTGTTAGTTAAACCAATAAGCAGAGTACAAGTACCTGATCGAGCAATGCCACTGTCCCTGTCTTCATTCTGTCCTCTGCTTGGCATATCAACTGGTGTGCTGTGTGCTGAGATAAAGGAACAAGGAAATCATGTTATCGGGCTGTTCAGAGTTAAAGTTTGTAAAACAAGTGCAGTAATTTTTACATTTCAAAGAAGGCTACTGCTACTGATGATTGGCATAAGCTTATAATAGAGACTAAATAGAAAGCAAAATTACATATATAAAAAGATGGTGAGAAGAAAAGAGAAGCAAGTAACCATCTGCCTGTATTCAATTGTAACACACGAACTTTTTTGAGTGATGTTCAACTCTTAAAAACAAATGAACGAATTATGATTTGAATAATAAATTATCTGAATAATAAATGATTTCTGCAGTTGATGCAATGAACAAACATTTTCAGGTAGTTTTTTTTAGTAGTAGTATTTACATAGCAATGTATTTTCAAAATGCTTTATAATCAGTTTTTGTAGTAACTGTAGGCGACTTAGGGAAGAGAAATACTTGAAAACCATTTCATAAATTCGAAAAATGTTTCTCTGTTTATAACCCACTCTCTTGGCAGATAGAAAACATTTATGTTCGTTTTCAAATATTTCTTCCTCCATTTCTTTCCATATACACCCATACACAATATTATTGTAGAGTTACTTAGAAAAACTCATGTCCTGGCATGAATTTTGGAAAACACTGTGAAGTATTATGGACTTCTAGGAATGCTTCAGATTGGCCTAAGCTGTACACTTGCTGGGCTAGAAGGCAGATGTGATGCTGCTGTAGTGAAGTTCTACAATGGACAAGCAGCTCAGTGCTCTGCCCGATTATTACACCTGCCAGCTGTTTTTGAAGCATGTTTATTTTCACAATTGTAAAGAGATTTAAATGTGTTATCCTCACTCTAAGTAGGTGGGAGGATGTCAATTTCATTAGGGTATCAGCTAACTATGGTGCTTAGCATATTTCAGGCCACAAAGAAAAGAAAGAAAAATACCATTTGCTATACTCACAACTTTAAATGTTAGTAATGGAGGTTCCCCACAAGTTAATCATGCCAAGACAAGTTAAATCTCAGAGACACCAAGATGACTACACCTGTAAATAACCTAGAAATTGTATTTACACTACTTAAATGAGAAAGAGACAGAGAAGTCTTCCATGCTCTTATTAGCGTGACTTTTAAAGAAACTCCGTGCAGGTAAGGATGCAGTTGAATAAATGGATAAAAGACGCCAAGGCAAAGGGAAACAGTTCATAGTAGCAGAAGAGGCCCAGAAAAACCAGAAAAAAAAATCCTCTTAGAAATACTAAGGGCTCATTTCAGATTAAAATCAGCTTACACATAGAGTATTAGTGAAGACATTTACAAGAGAGGTTCATTGGTGGAATTTTCAAAACACCATGGATTTGGCCGCATTTGGAACCAATATCTGCTAACACAAGAGCCCCTTGGATTTCTAGAGAGGCACAAGTAGGATTTTTTTCCTAAGAACCTGCACAGGATTTATTAATGTGTGTGGGTCACACTGTACTCAGCATTCCACACAAACCTGCAAAGAAAGAAGCACTCCGGGTGAGCCGGAGAGGTCCTCCTTCAGCTACCCCTTGCAGCAGTTTGCTGCTGCATGCTTGCAGCAGACCTAGAGATAGAAACACACAGAAGAGGGCAAACAAAGTACACACACACAAAATAAACATAGATTAAAGATAATGCAAAAAAAAAAAAAAAACTCAAATAAAGCAAAACACACACCCACAATAGTGTATTCAAAAAGAAAGAATTTGTGTGTCTGATTTTACCTAGGTTACTTGCAGTACGACAAGGACCCAAACTATTCTGATTTGTGTTCAGTTTTCCCATATTAGGATCTTGGTTGATGTACTCAAAGCTGTCTTGCAGGCTGTATCCAGGGAGGGCGGGAAGGAGAAAGAGGACAAAAATATCAAGAAGCTACTAAAGCTGTTTTCTAATACACTTCCAAATATAGACAACAACTAATCAGTCCCTCAATACTTTTTTTTTAATAAACAAATGAAGTCTCACATCTACAAAAGGGAATTAAACTTGTAACTTCAGGTGAATTTGTTGGAAGAAAACAAAAGCTATTTTGGAGGTAGCTGAACCCATGTAACTAAACAACTGTACTTCTAACAATTCCATATTATATAACGAGACAAACTGCAAATTTTGCTTCAGTGACTGACCCTTGGGATACTGCTATTCATTTCTACATTTTGCTTAAGCAACTGACACTCAACAGGTTGCAATCCATTTCAAGTATTTTACATAAACCCTCAAAATGAAATTAACTTTTACTTGTGGTTAATATCAATGAGCAATTCAGCAACTTTTTTCAGGAATAAAATATAACAAATTATAATTCTTATAGGAGTTTCATTTCACAACTTCTAAAAAAATTACTCATAAAAATATGAGGGAAGCAGACTTTAATAATTTGTTGTGTTTATTAACAATTAAAATAAAGACTTGCTGTATGTAGAACTGACAAAAACAACAATGACAAAAAGACTTTGAGAATAATACAGCATAATGAAGCCAAAATAATTTTCATTAATACTCAAAATAAATTTCAATAAATACTCAGGCAATCTCAAGGGTCAGTTAAGAACAAATCTCATAAGAAATAAATAACAATCCTCATATTGGCTTAAGTCATGACAGTCCAATGTTAAATGCTCAAATTGTTTTGTTGAAGGGTAAGCCAAGACTCACTCAATGGTATTCAAACATATAGAGAAGTATTTTTAATTTCCCAGGATAAGAAAAAACAGCTTTCACTTGACCCCCGAGAACGTCCTTTAGTTTATAACAAGCCTTTCTTTCAAATTTATCAAAGTATAACCGGTGCTTTATTTTAAAAAAGGAAGTATATGAAATATTTCTACTTGAAAGTTCAAGATATATGAATGAATATGCTAAAATGAGATTAAGTTATTAGATATTTCAGAATTCATTATGCAGAAGTGTAAAATCAGAGGGAAAATGTCAGGAGTTTTTTAAAAAGTAAAAATATTGCATGCTACAAGTACCAATCAATCACAAAGGCTAAACCGACCACTCAGAATAGATGGCAAGCACAAACAAACCACCTGGCCACACAGGTGCTTATCAGACTGGAAAAACTCATTATGTACTTTAACCCTTCAGAAATAATTTGATATAGGGTCTTGGTTTGTGATCCAGGCTGGAGTACAGTGGCACAATTACTGTTCACTGCAGCCTCAACCTCTCAGGTTCAAGTGATCCTCCCTTTTCAGCCTCCCAAGTAGCTGGGACCACAGACATGCACCACCATGCCCGGCTAATTTTTTATTATTATTATTTGTAGAGACAGGATCTCCCTATGTTGCCCAGGCTTGTTTTGAATTCCTAGGCTCAAGTGACCCTCCCACTGTAATCCCAGCGTATTGGGATTCCAGGCATTAATCACCATGCCAAGATTTTTTTTAAAAAAAGATAAAATAATACCAGAAAACACAGTAAGATCATTAATGCAGCCCTTTTCCTTTTTTTATTTTTTATTTTCCAAGAAACTAAAAATTGGCCACTGGGTAACAGATGACTCATTTTTCTTTAGGGCCACCTAATAAAGTCAAAGGTTTTTTCTTACTGTTTATAGGACAGTAGCCACTTTTAAAACATCTTTGTTAATTTGGACTTATTCTGCTTCTCATTTCAAAATGCCTTGTGACCCTTAAAGAATTACTCTATCAAGAAATACACACTTTAAAAAAATGGCATGAGAGTGCAAAATCCTACACTTACTTATTTGTACTTCCACAGAAGCTGCCCATTCTAGCAGAGAAGACTTTACTAATCATCAGTTGTGGAGGAGAACTGGGGAAAAAAAAAAAGGAAGGAGAAGGGAAAAATACATTTATGAGTTAAGGAGTCAATACCACCATTGCACTTCTCAAAACTCGTAGAATAGGAAGCGGAGACTCACCGGATATAGTGTATCTTTAAGGTGGAGCCTTTGTAACTCATCGCAACTGAGCCAAACATCATTTCCCCCAACATGTTGACATCAGAAGCTGGTCTTGTGTACTACATGCAAGAAACCAAAATCAAAGTTAGTACATGGAACGTGACATGCAATAAAACAGAAAATAGTGTTTATTAATCTGATTAGTGTCATCAATAATTAAAACTATTTCTCAAAGCTTCAAGTGGTCATCTTACAATCTTAATTTATAATGGCGATTGCCTATATTCCCCCCAAAGTATTATTAATGTTTGTGATTTCTCTTTTATACACAATATTGTCATATAGGAGCCAAGTGTTTTATCAGAGTTCATTTTTATTTTTGTTATGAGAAACAAAGATTACTATTATTTCTATTTATAAACCCTGAATAGAAGTTAATATGAAAATAACAGTAACTCTACTCTTGCTACTAAGAAAATATCCTGAAAAGTAATATGGTTCAGTACTATTCACCCAAATAATTAACAGTATGGCAAAAAATTGCTCATTGCTGCAGGTAGGGTTTTGCGAGGGCCCAAAAATAACAGATGGTCTGGTAACCCTAAAGTTTTACAAAAGTATTTCAAAAACATTTGTCCCCTCCAGCTTCTGACCAGTCTCTCTCATGCTTTTACCATCCAAAGGGTGGACTGCCTGCATCCCTTTCCTCCACTCTCGCTGGCTTGTTACTCTTACATTCAAACTAGTCCAACTATTCCAATGATGACCTCCTCCCTCTTAGTCAAATCCAATGGACACTTTCCAGTTTGCTTTATTAAATTTCTTTCAATATATCTGATGCTGTTCATGACTCTCCATTTTGAATCTCTTCTTTCTCAGATCATCCCTTACTGTGATTTTGCCTGGAGGTCACCCCTACTAACTGCCTGCATTTTCAACCATTCTTTTGATTTTGATAATTGTTTACATAGAATACCCCTTACATCTTTGTCTCTAGGCCCAGAGCTCTCCTGGAGATCTAGAACCTTATACCCCAATACATCCATTCACCTAGTGACATCTGAATGAGTGTCTTGGGATATAGGATTCTTAGTACCTATGATAAGTGCTGGTGACACACCGATGAACACAATAGGTATGAATGCCGAGCAAATTGGTGTGCCACAGGGTTGCCACAAAGCAACCATAGTTCTGCACCTTGGCGTACCAACTAGATTCTCTGTCAGTGTGCTTTCCAACCAAGTAAAAACACAGAAATCACCCTTAACATACTCTTCCAAATCTTTTTTAAAACTCCTAATACATACGCACAGACACACAAGTATACATACACTGACACGCAAATACACACTTGCTTATACAAGGTTGCAGAGGCGGAAAGAGAAAGATAAATCTATCAGCCCTGTTCAGTTAGGTTCCTCTCTCTCATTATAGCTCACACCAACTTCTTCCCACCATACACTGACAGAAACCAACTGGTTTTCACATTCTTTATTACTAACTTCCCCCCACCTCCTTCATTTATAATCTGCTTTTTCTTGGGGTACAAGGGCCACATGCCAACTGTGATTCTCAACCTGCTGAAAATTCTACTCTATACTTTGTAAACTGCAATCCGCTTTGAGACCCAGGCGCACTATGTCTCAAAAAGGGCAAAAGTGTGGCACAAATCCTGACTATGAAATTAACAAAGTCCTCTGGATCCATAGCTGCTGCTAATTTCCCTGGTGGTGTTTTTCCAGAAAAATAGTAGACAAGATTCTACGAGGGCTTAAAAACAAGCTCAATATATCCCCCATCAATTAATATCCTTCTGCCATTTAATATTTAAAAAACACCTCTTCCTTTTTATCTTGTTAGCCAATATTTCTCAATAACCTTAACCCCTTCCTTACACACACACACACACACACACACACACACACTATTAAAAATGCCACCAGCCTTGTATCCTTCATACTCAAATTAGATATTGCCATTTCTTTCTTCTTCCATACAAGGCTTTCTTCCTTTAACTGGCATGTTCTATTTTCTTAGGATGCCCATATCCATTCCCAGAATCCATAGGAATTCTTATAACAAAACTGGAAAGTACATGTTTATTATTCTGGATCAGACAGCAAAGGAAACAAAGCAAGGTAATTTGCCTGACTGGCAATATTTCTTCCTCATCCAGTACATAGTAGGCTGTATCACCTCTGCTTGATTACGGTTTTTATTGGAGATAAAAGCCAAAGAGCAAAAACAACATCAATGTGAAACATTTAAGAGTACTCTGTTGAATACTTGTCCTCATATTTCTGGAGCAGAGCCCTCAAGCAGGCATTATTTCCCAAGGAGAAATTATAGTAAATAACTTTAACCCCAGGGGCTATTCCTACAGAAGGGATGGTTGTACCTGGTACTTTGGAAACTGCTCTTTCGCATGGTGTGAAGATCCCCCGGAAGAACTGTGGGAAGAGATGAGGCTGCTGCTGCTGCTGCTGACGCTGCTGCTGACACTGCTGCTCCCCTGGCAGCATTTGGCTGATATTTTAATAGGGATGTCTTCTGTTTTCTAGGTTGAGAGAGACAGACAAGGCAAAACATTCCTAAGTATATCAGGTTCGTCAACAGTTCTTCATTGGAAATTCCTTTTTAAAAGCATTCTGGTGCCTAAGTTGCATTAAAAACCAGAAACTTTTCTTTTTTTCTAATAATGACAAAAACATGGTTCGTGAGAGTCTATAATGGGAAGGCAAAATGCTGAAGAAGGGTTCTAGACAAAAGTGGGTAGGTTATACATTAAGACTTTATCCTCTTCTAATAATTTATTATTTATACTTCACATAATTGATCTCTGTTTTGGTTATTAGCTTTTAATACTATGCAGAGTCATAATCCATTGAATTGAAGAGGAGAAAGGTGAGGCTTCAAATCTAAATTTTTACTCAGCACATGGAACTAATAAAACTATTAGCTTGGGCAGACTGCTTGTGTTTTTAACGACACACCTCCTCTAGTACTCCTTTAAAGGCAACAGGAAGGAAAATCATGAGGTTGAATTTGAAAGGGATGAAACTGAAACCCTGAAACAGGAGCTACTGTGAATTACATAGCATGTGATGGAAATATGGTTTTCAAAGGTTAAGGAAAATAGAGGATTCTCTATATTCCCCAAATAGAGTTTGTTACTAATTTTTATCACAGTGACAAAAGTATAACGATAAACCTTTATTACTATTTAACTTCCCCTTGAAAATATTACTCCCTACAGAAGCCTCCTGCACCCTCCATGATAAGTTGTTTCTATTCTGAGTCTTCTTTGCCTTTTTTTCTTGTGCAGCTTTTGCTTGGAGAAACATGAATGCAATTGCAGCTTATCTAATCTCCAGTGTGACAGTCACACTGGTGGTCTAATGCAAATGCCTACAGTCATGTGCTTGATACAAACTCATGATGTTTTGTGCTTGCCAAGGGAGGCTGGGGTGGTGGGGACTGAAAACGGGAAAAGAATGTAAGGAAAACACAAAATGTGCTGCGCCATAACCGTCACTCCAGCAATGATGGCATTCAAAGTGGCACTTGTCCGGTTATTCCTGAGCATCCAGCAGTCCCTCAACACTCTCTCAAGATTCAGCTGTTACTTAGTATCACTTAAGCCAGAAACACAGCCCCTCAAAGGGCCTAAGTGACACAAGTCCCACCTGCCTCAGACTGACAGACCCTTTGGCTGGAGTACAACACAGTGAACAGTCTATAATTGGAGAAAGCACCTGGGATAGTGAATAGAGCATTAACTGGATTCTTTCGTAGACTCAGGCAAGCTACAAACCTCCTGAAACTAAGATGCCTTTTTAGTTAGATGAGTGCTTCTAAGAAAGCCTATGTTTCAAGATTCCAGCATGATCACTGCTGTAGTACACTGAAGTTTCCAGTTCCTTTTGAAGACTTGTGTTTCTTTTCCGCTCCACCAGCCACCACTAGGAGCAATCCCAGTGACAGGAGCTCAACTAAAACATCCATGTTTGGCCTTCAGAGAAATGGGAAATAATTCAAGAAATCAAGAGGTAAACCATCTCCTGTCTACCAAAAGGCCAAGTTCTGGCTCACCTAAATTTCAGTAACAAAGCTAACCAGGAAAGCCTACAGTGAATCACCTGAGAGATTTCTTAGTTTGCCCCCCGTGCCCCCCGCCCACCTCCCCTCTACCTACCTAACAAGCCCAACAACTACTGTAATGATTAGCCACCTGGCAGAACTCCACTTTAAAATATTGTAGAATCCACCCAGCTAAACTGTGTTTAACCAAACACTTCCTTCCTGCAGAAATGATCCTTATCAAAAGCAGGAAAACAACCCCTTGGCCTTGAAGAGACAAAGACTGTGTTATAAACTGTTCATTTACTTAGCTGCACATTCTACAAACTGCTAGTATTTGGTCAGTATGGGTAGCAACTTACTGAACATAAAAAGAATGAATACAAATGGATTTATTTAATTTGTAGGCATCTGAACAAATATTGAAAAGAGCATGAAAGGTCTAAAGTGAATTTAGAAGTACTGTGGTCTCCTATCCAAAAAGATCCAGAAGGGATCAGACTCTTTTCACCTTTAACATGTTATTTGACCACTTCCCTTCTGGCTCCAAGGGACCAAGAGCTGCTCTGTCCTCATTCTACCCATCCCTTGTCCCCTACCCCACACCACCACCACCGCTACCATCCAACTCTCCAAGGAAAAAAAAAAAGCGGGGTGTGGGGGGAATAAATGAAAGCTCCCCTGGTCATAAGGGTTTGAGAAGCAATCCTTTTTGAAGACAACATGCAGATTTGCATATGGAAGGCACGTAAGTGAGTAAGGCTGTTTGATTTTTGTTAACCTAGTGCTACTTATTATCTATGAGAAACACTAGACAGAATGATATTCAGGCTCACACTTTTTAAAAATGAATTTTAGAGTTCTCCTTTCCCATTAGAGGTACACACTTGCCATGAAAATCTTACAGGATTGCAACTCACCGGCAAATTTACCTGTAGTACTATTAATAGTTCGCTACTTAGCTCTTGTCATGATTACTTGCTAACAGCTTCACTTGTGTTTAGTAGTGAGCATACTCACACCTGTTGGGGGTAGGGCTTTGATTATTCAATGCTTGCTTATGTTTATTCTGAACCATGAATGGCACTGTACAATATAACTCAAAGAGAAGATTACAGATTAATCAATGATTGATCAGAGGGGTGGTTAAAAGCACAAAAGAAAAAGGAGAAAGTAAATCAGCATTTCATACCTGAGCTGTCACCTCTTCAATCTTTTGAACAGCTTTAGAGTCAAACAAGACTTGTCTGCCTCTCCTTTCACAGTCCTGGTAAACTATCAGGCGAATCTCATTCAGGTCAAACTCCGAACATGACCAACTGTGGATTAAAAAGAGAGAAAGAAGTTGTTATCCACAACACGTGAGATGATCACGGACAGATAAGCTTCCCAGTCACCATGCCTGCATGCACATCAAAAGGTCACAAGCATGCAGGGATAGTGATACTCTCAGAACTAGGGCACCAGTGAGCCTGGGACAGATAGCCTTTTATGTGGATTCCAACTGGCCATACGAAAATCGCCAGTTTTCATGATAAGGGCAGAGAAGACTGCTTTAAATAATAAATCATTGGAGAGAAAGCTTCTCCTTCCAAAGCCAGTTTGGGCACAGATGGCAGTCAGAAATCACAAGGACATGCAGAGAGGGCTAAAATTGGATGCCTGGGTTCTGGGGACAGCATATCGGAATTAAGAGTGTTAAAGCTTCTGTGTTGTTGGGCCGGGAACCAACTGGAGCAAGTCGGTAGAGCCTTCTCTTCCTCTCTCCCACCCACCCACACTGAGGTCAAATTGAGAGGAATTACACGCTCTAAAATTTATTATTTTCCCCGATTATGGCTAGCTCTAATATAGGAGTTTCAAAAGCCAAGTGCATCACTGTAGAGTATCAGAATTGCTAGCAATTACAGTCAGCAAGAAGGGAAGCATGTTTCTAAGCAAACCAAAAGCAACTGGGATAAAACTACTCTGAGGAAAACACAGGTTCATTCTTAGTAAATGACAGAGTGAGGAAACTATAGAAAAAGTAATCATTTAAAAATGCATGGCTTTGGGCATACTCAGTTTTTAACCCATCAGTCCAGTCAACACGTATTTGAGTGTCTGTGATGTTCCAGGCACTGTGGTTGCTGCTGGAGACTCAGCAGTTAATTAACTGGAAAGACCTGGTCCCCGCCCTAACGGAGTTCGTGGTTCAGTGGGGAATATTAGGCAAAGAATCACAGATAAATGTATCATTACAAACTGAGAAAGTACAAAAAGGAGCAGTAAACAGTTTCAGATTTCCAGACTGAAGAGGTGGAGAAGAGGGACAGGGAAGTCTCTAAGGACTTGAGGTGACATTTAAACACAGACCTGAAGAAGTAAAACTAATGAAGTGCACCACAGGAACAGAGAGGGAGGATGTGGTAAGGTCTAAGACTGCCACAGTGGAGAGGAAAAAAGACAAAGGCCAGAGAGCGAGTGCCACAAGGTGGAAAGGACGGCAGGCAGGGGCCAGGATCATGCTTTCCCTCCTCGAGAAACCAAGGAAAACAGATGCTTGATAAGATCAGGTCTGCACTTTTTGAAAGTTCAATCTGGCTGTTAAGGAAAATGGGGGTGGAACAGACGAAGACTGGAAGCAGGAGGGCCAAACAATTCATAATTAGAGTTCCAGCCCTTCATAATGAAGGCTAGAACTCCAGCGGCAGAGGAGGGGAAAAGGGGACAGACTGTGGTGGCACGCTCACAGGACAGAGCTGAGCCAGTTTCCCAATGGACTGGAGAGGTGCCCAAGGTGAAAGGCAGCCAACTGGTTAGAGAAGCCGAGGGGGAGCTCTGAAGGGACAGAGGAGGACAGACAGACAAGTAGACAGACATACAAAAGCAAACTGTAAAACTAGGAGGCAGTATAAATGAAGTCAGACACATCTGGATTAAAATCCAAATGCCTCCGGCCTTCTAGTTCTTCATCAGTACAATGAGAATGTTAAGCCTGCCCTTACAAAGCTGCTGTATGGATTAAATGAAATGCATAAAGTGTTTCATACAAAGAGTGACATACAGTAAGTGCTCCAAAATGGCAATCATTATCTCAGAGGATTTACTATTATGATTTTTAAAGAAAATTAATACAGTGTCTGATAACCACAAATTGTGCATTTCTGGTCTTTTCCGTTTTTAGGCAGTTAATACTGAACATGTTATTTTTTGGTAGCAGATTTGTTTTCTTAAATCCCTACAGCAAAACATATAAAGTTCTGGTTGCACCTTCTTTCAACAAGCTGTGTCCTAAACTATCGTGCCCAGCATCCTTTCTTCCTAATTTTGATAACAATATGGCAGGTTTATTTTCAAACTATTTTCCCTCTACTCTCAGTCCAGAGAGAGTACGTGTTTCAGGTCTGGCTAATGAGACATGGCCATATGACCCAAGCTGGCTGTGTGAGTCAGACCCAAAACTCAATTGTTCAACTCGTAAGTAGTAACCCTGGCATTGGCAGTGGCTATTTTTTGCCATCATGAAGTAAGGGCCTGTCTGAAAATGAAGTCAGCATGGAGGAAAGCAGAGATGAGCAAGGGAGTGAAACAGATTCCTGGCAGCACCAGAAGCCAGTTGTTCCTGAGTAAGTACTATTCCTGGAATTAGTTCATGGTTACTTACAACCAACACAGTCTGATGACTATGACTCAGATCACTGAATTTTAAAATCACAGAAGGCCGAGGAGGGTGGAACACTTGAGGTCAGGAGTTCGAGACCAACCTGGCAAACCATGGCCAACTGGTGAAATGCCATCTATACTAAAAATATGGAAATTAGCCAGGTGCACTGATAGGCACCCATAATTCCAGCTACTTAGGAGACTGAAGCAGCAGAATCGCTTGAACCTGGGAGGCAGAGGTTGCAGTGAGCCAAGATGGCACCAATGCACTCCAGTCTGGGTGACAGAGGGAGATTCCATCTCCAAATAAAAAAAATTACACAAGATCATTAAAAAGGCCCTGAAACTATACATTATTATAAAATAGTATATATGTTGAAGTTGTTAAAAGTAAAAAAAAAAAAAATCAGAATTGCCTTGCATTTTCTTTTCAATCAATTTTGCCTTATCATTACATTTTACCAAGACAGCATAATTTATAATCAAGTTGTTCGATCCTCATTTTTAAAGAATAACATGTATTCAAATATCAAACTGAAAACAGCTAGTGTAGAAGAGATAAAATTTAATAATGATCATAACACCTTATTAAATGTTTCATGTTATTTTTCAATGAAGAAAAGATGGAAATAAAAATCATGGAAGATTGTTCTGATCCAGGAGTCTAAAAATAATCTTTTTGAATTTAAAAATTTAAAAAAAGACACAGAGGGGAAAATGCATATTTCAGATTGTCTCATTTTTTAATCCAAATGCTTTAGAAGTATTTTATAAGATATGAGTGATAACACAGTGACTCGTACCTGTAATCCCAGCTACTTAGGTTGCTGAAGCAAAGAGTATCAGTTGAGTCCAGGAATTCCAGACAAGACTGCACAACATAAAGACCCAGATTCTTTAAAAACTTGAAAAAAATTAGCTGGTTATTATGTTATGCACCTGTAGTCCCAACTACTTAGGAGACTGAGGCGGGAGGATCACTTGAGCCCAGGAGTTCAAGGCTGCAATGAGCCATGATCACACCATTGCACTCGGATTTTAGCCTTAGCGACAGAGCGAGATCCCATCTCTTAAACAAACAAGCAAAACAAAATGGTCAGGTGCAATGGCTTACATCTGTAATCCCAGCAATTTGGGAGACTGAGGCTGGTTGATCACTTGAGCCCAGGAGTTTGAGGCCAGCCTGGGCAACAGGGTGAAATCTCATCTCTACTAAAAATACAAAGTTAGCTGAGCATGGTGGGGCACACCTGTAGTCCTAGCTACTAGAGTGCGTAGGCTGAGATGGTAGAATCACCTGAGCTCAGGAAGTTGAGGCTACTGTGAGCTGAGATCATATCACTACATTCCAGCCTGGGTGACAGAGTGAGACCGTATCTCAGAATAAATAAATACATAAATAAATAAAATAAAAATAAAAGAATTTAAAAAAAAAGGAAAACTCTATTCTTCTTCCACATGAATACTCTCTTTGGTTTAATACATAAATATAATTTCAACATTGACATTTCTTTCTTCCTTTTTTTATTTTTGGAGACAGGGTTTTGCTCTGTCGCCCAGGCTAGAGTGCAGTGACACCATCTCGGCTCACTGTAGCCTCAACCTCCCGCTCAAGCAATTCTTCCACCTCAGACCCCCAAGTAGCTGGGACTACAGGCATGCACCACCATGCGTAGCTAATTTCTTTGTATTTTTTGTAGAGACAGAGTTTTACATGGTAAAACCCTGGATCAATAAGGAGCTGGTCTCAAACTCCTGAGGCTCAGGCAATCTGCCTGCCTCAGCCTCCCAAAGGGCAGGGAGACACTGACATTTTAATGTTAGTAGAGGGAAAAACAGTTGCATAATTGGGTCAAGGAAATAGAGGCCGAACAAAGGCCATTAGTGCTTCAGAATGAGAGAGTCTGGGGATCCAATCTCAGCTCTGCCTCCCACCAGTTTTACAGTTTTGGGAATGTCTCCCCTAGGAGTACTTAAAGGTCCTGTTGTGAAGATTAAAACAGACAATCTATGGAAAATTTCCCAGCACATTCCCAGCCCCTTTCCCAGCCAACCCTGATACACAGGCCTTGAGCTACTGATAGCCACATGCCACACATACTCTCTTCATATTCACATTCACTTCTACGTTCAACTAGCAGTTACTGCGGAGCTTCCAAGAGCACCAACCACAGTTCCCGGTGCTTTACTGAAGACATCTCTTCATATGACTGGGAGCCACTCAGCATGATTTAAAGGGATATGAAAATAAACCTTGGGGCTTTTGCCTTAAATATCTGACCATTTCAGAACAATGTATTCTAATCCGAGTTACTTCATTTCTCTGTTCTTGCTTAACACAAAGAATGAACAATGTCCTTGGCATCAGGGTATTATTTATGGCTACTTTATGACTTCAGGCACAATAAGATAAGATGATTTGTCTACCTTTTCTTATTGTAAAATTTAAGCAAAATGACTTATATGGACTCTCTCTGGTTTTAAAATTCCATGATGCCAGGATTTGCCTAGTTAGAACTGAAACCAGGCCTTATTTCTGGAACTACTCAAGAGTGGAAAGGCAAATAACAAAAGTCTCAGTTACTTCCCTGAAACATGACAGGCACTAGTTCAAGTGATCTGAAACACAGAAAACATAATTCTCTTTAAAATATCTTAAGCCATGCACTGTAGT